AACATGGCCAATCAGGCGTCAGGGAAACCCACTGGAAACCATGGATTATTTCACACATATCACATTGAAGCTATCACGTTGAAAGGTATGGAGTCCAATGCAAAGGGTAACGGATACCTGAAACTTGGCAGGTATGTTGTCTAGCCTCATTTCAGTTGTTGAACTTCATCTAACATATGGAGTAAGCTACATGTATATGATAACACTGTTATATTATGTACTGGCAATGGCATGTGGTCACACCTACTCAAGACAAATTTATATTACAGCATGGGACAAATAATGCTTCTGCATTTAAGAATTTAAGCAAATCATTTAGTTTTAATTAATTTAATACACCCATATCTATCTATCTATCTATGTTCATCAAATTTAACAATTATTTTGAGAAAGTAACTCGATTTTTTTCAGCTCTTGATATGATAAATTTTAGGCAGGATGTATGACAATCAACTGGTACTGTGAAATCAAAAATAAACCAACTGTTTGCTCAAATTTCAAGCTGCCATCCAAATTTGCGAGCTCTTGTGGTCAGCTTGCTAACCCAGTATAAGAGTCGTATTTTCTGAACTTTAGCATTTTGCCTAAATCTGAGCTGGTCATTTTGTTCATATAGCCACAGTCCCTCTATCCCTCTATAGAGGGACTCTCAGCTCTATAGAGGGACTCTCAGCTCTATAGAGGGACTCTCAGCTCTATAGAGGGACTCTCAGCTCTATAGAGGGACTCTCAGCTCTATAGAGGGACTCTCAGCTCTATAGAGGGGCTGTGATATAGCATACTACCATAATTCTTAATTGCAGTGACTTATGATTATTATTATAGTTTTCTTTCTTAATATATCATCTCATAACAAATCTTGCATTTATTTTATCTTTTTGTGCATTTTATTTCAGAGTACTGGAAGGTGTCTTTCGAAGCTTGAATAATTTGTTGGAACGGTTTCATCAATCGTTTTTTTTCTACCTGCTGCCTGCTACTGATCGATATGTGTCAATTGGTTTGTATATGCCACCGTTTGGATTGTTAGTTTTAGTCCCAGCATTACAAATATCCTTTTACTTGTCTGGTTATATGTTAATGAGAATGCATTGGTAAATTCTATTAGCTCAGTGCCAGTTGGGAATCATCAATTGATTGGACTTTCTACAAAGCTCCAGGGGTCTGTCCCCTGAGCTGAGAATCCAATCCTGCACTGCTATTAGTGTTTTAATGAATAGGTCTGGCACAGTTACAAAGCAGTGTCCAAGCAGATTTCTTAAAGTAAAGTCAGTTTGGCATACAGGGATGATAACAGAGAAAAAAAATACAATTTTACTTACAAAAAATTTATCTAGAGGAAAATTAACAACAATTTTACTGTCTTCAGTCATACGTATTAAAATCCAATATTTAACATTTCATAAACTAATAGACCCTATGTCTAAAATTTGAGGTCCACCAGGTGCCAGTAAAATCTATTATCTAGGTAGTTAAGTGCCCTCTATCTCCAGTTCTATTTAATTCAACATGAGTGAATCATAAATAGGCTGACTGAAAATTGACCAAAAATACTTTTTAAGAAGTTACGAAGTCATGATGTTGTTGATAATCAAAACCCTCACACCCATCTGAAAATATAAATCTAGATAAAATTGGAAAAAGAAAAAAAAAAAGATTTTTCTACTCTTTTCAACCCTTTTCTTCCTGAGTGTTTAAATTGGTCAAGAGTGAAAAAATACAATTTACAGACATTGAAGATAATAATAAAATACAAATAAATGCGTTGATATAAAAGTACAAAGAAATAATTTATTTAGAAATTTGAGAAACTTCTATATTTCTACCATCTTTCTTTTAGGGCCATTGTTGCCATGGCAGCATAATGCATCCTGGGAAAAGTGGTTGTTTTTGACTCCCATGTGCGAAGCACAAAATGGGAGTCTTTGCAGTTAGTGTGTCTGTATGTGTGTCTGTATGTGTGTGTGTATGTGTGTATGTGTGTGTGTGTGTGTATGTGTGTCCGACTGTTCCACTGCTATCTCAAGAACCATACATCGGTTTTTGATGAAACTTGGTGCATAGATGCTCTGGGCCAATGCGCAGATTTGGTTAGGTTTTGGTAAAAATCCATGCTCGTTAATTACCTAATTTGCATGATAATTAGCTAATTTTTAGCTGTTCTATGACTGTTCCACTGATATCTAAAGAACCACTCATTGGATTTTGATGAAACTTGGTACATAGATGCTCTGAACATATGCGCAGATTTGATCAATTTTTGGTAATAATCCGTGCATATTAATTACCTAATTTGCATAATGATTAGTCAATTTTCGGTTTTTCCACTGATATCTCAAGTACTAATCATCACATTTCAATGAAACTTGGTACATAGATGTCATACGACACTGCACAGACCTGATAGTTTTTATGGTAATATCAGTACATATTAATTACCTAATTTGCATAATTAATTAATTTTCAGCATTTGATATAAGTAGTTAGCATTACATTTCAATGAAACTTGGTACTTACATACTCAAGGACTATGCAGAGATTGATTGCTTTCGATAAATATTTGTGCATATTAATCACCTAATTTGCATAATTAGTTAATTTTCAGCTTTTCCACGGGTATCTCAAGTACTAATCATCGCATTTCAATGAAACTTGGTACATAGATCCTTTAGGACTATGCAGAGACCTGATTAGTTTTAGGGTAAATAATTGTGCATATTAATTACCTAATTTGCATAATTAATTTTCAGCTTTTCTACTGATATCTAAAGTACTAATCATCACATTTCATGAAT